TGAAGAAAGACACCCTTAGGAACCAAAACTCACTGTCTCTCTCTCTCACTCACCCACGCACACACACACGGTACTACCTAGGTTGTCGACATGGTTCTAGCCAGGCCTTGGCTGTGACACACAGGGAAAGGAGGATGAATGGGGCCCTCAGAGAAACCTTCAGTGTGACGGGCAAGAGAGGGAGGGAACGCTGCAACCCAGCAATCCTATAAATCTCATTGACATCTTCAGACATCTTCATAAAACTACAACAAATACCTGAGTTTGGGGAGATAACTTCACTCCCTCCACAATGGAGGTAATTCATGACACTGACACTGACTAAAATGTGCATGAAATTGCTACACGCAGCCGATTGCAGGGTCAGATTACATACATTTCCCTTTTTGGCACAGGGCACAGCCAATGAAATCATCATGCCTACTTTAGTTTTGCTTATTTAACACTGTTGGGTGGACTATTAGGTGTCCACGCCTGTAGGCAGGTTCAGTGGCTGCATTCAAGACAGAAAGCCAAAGTGGTTGTGTGATGAATTCTGTATTTTATGAGAGGAGGAGGCAGGACATTTTCACATTCCTAGAGAAAATAATGCACCCTTGTAAGCTAAAAACAACTTTTTTTTTTATCTAAGTGAACTGGATTGCACATTTATTATATTCTATATCAGTTGTTTGCAAGACCATTACTTATATTAAAGTGGATATTTTTAATTTATATGATTTGAAATGTTTGGTTTGGTTAAGTTTCATTTACTACTACAACTGAGTGGAAAAAGCTATGTTTCAAGCCTTTGTCCATTACATTTAACTAACAATTTAACTGTTTATCCATTATTTTAAGCTAGATATTTCAACTGTTTATAGATTTTAGATGACATAGTCATCTTGTGTGCTGTGTGATTCAGCTGTCTCTCACGCTGGTGTTCTAGGTTACCCCAACGATCTCCGTTAGGCTAACCTAGAACACCTGAGGGCCCCAGTGTGTTCCCAGGTTATTTCAGCCTGACTGCAGTGTAGCTCTGTTTCTCTGTCTGCCTAGCAGCTCTTCCTCCCTTTTCCCTACGGACACCCATTTGTTTGGTTTAGTTTGAGTTCATCTTTACTCCTTGATTTGTACCTTACAACATCCACACCATTCATTCATCCACCACTGCAAAAACTGATATCCACACTATACATCTTGATAATACTAAATTGGCAACCAGATCATAACAATGGGAGTAGGTGGTGTTTAGGTTCAGGTGTTACAACTGACCTCTGCATGAGGTGTAGCGGACAACTTACTGGTTATTGAAACGATACATTTACTTAACATCAGCATAACCCCTCCAAAACACCAATATGTGGATATATATTTGTTTCTATGTGCCCCGAGTTGAGAATCACTGTTCTATATCGACAGACTGTGCTAGGCTCTAGTGAGTCACTCTACAGTCGTAATGTGTGATGACGAGCTGACAGGGAAGCTACAGTCCGTGTGAGCTGGCAGCAAGCTGACAAGGTGTCATGTACAAAGTAGATTCATGTAGAAAAAAATCTGAAAAAGAGAAGGGTGTGGATTAAACATTGCCTAGATTGAAAAAGACAGTTTGGGTTGGCAGCTCTCCATTTGATTTTGGGAGAGGTAATGAAGCCCCCCCCCAAATTAAACTTTGCTCACTGGGCTCTGGCGAGTCCCAGAAGGCATTTGTGTCATTTCAAGTAGTTGTTATAATAGATGATTGACAGTTCTGATCCACTTGTCGCTATGTATGTGTGGTTTTGGCTTTTTAGTGTAATGTTTGGAACAGGTGGTAACAATATAGAAGGTTACAACTAAGAGGCTTTGGAGCATGCGTACTAAAGGCTGCGCTATGCTTGAGAGGAACTAGTGTTGCCCAACCGTGTCTGAGGGGCAAAAGGGAGAAACTACCAACATACTACACTAATCCCATAACAAAGTTTCATCAACACCATTTTAAGACATACAAAACTGAGATCCCTGGAGATTTGTTTAAAATTGAGGCGTTTTCTTAACCTGCTTCCTCTGAGGCCCCAAGCTGGGTCTCTCTCACCTTGATGTTTGGGCACAGCAACTTTCTATTCCTCTTTTTTTTTCAAATACAAGCACTGACCCTGTACTAAGAGCAGTCAAGCACTCTTTGTTTTGCTGTCCCTCGAGGGAACGGCACTGTCATTTTCTGAGCCAGAGAGACAAGCGGAGACAACCTTTTTTACTGGTCTCGAAAACAAACAACAACCACAAAATACTGGAAGGTGCTGTTCTACAAGAGCACTTACAAAAAAAGCTGAGGGCAAGGAGTTTGAAAGGTGAGAGCCTTTCACAGGTGGGGAATGACTGTTGTGGTGCATTATGGGAATGGTAGGAGCAAGCACTCAAAGCACTCTTCCTATACACTGGTTAAAGGTACACTGCAGAGTTTCTCACCACTAGAAGCGCTATGGAGCAATGTTTTGATGAGTGGGCCTCAGTTTAGACAGGAGGCGGCAATGTACCAAGACATAGACATAGGTTCCAAATTATTTTTTATTCAAAAATCTGTTTTTCTAGTGTATTTTGGTAAAGAAAAACTACAGTGGGAACCTCAAAACAGCCGTCCAATAAGATTGGAGCTATGAAATCAGCCCTGTCTCTCCTTTTTAATGCTTTGAATAGAAAAACAACCTAATATTTGAGTGACATGTTGACTTGAATTGCATATCAAGGTGTGAAATTAGGCACGATGGCAGTTGCATTTGACAGCATAACTAAATGGGCTATATAAAAGGCTACAGCCAGTATGTTGGCATGCTCTCAAAAATATCATCTGTGTATGACGCTCTTTAGCCAAAGAATCATTTTAATAGCCGGAGGAATACTGTCTGTAATCGTATTTTTGTTGGCCTCCCCATAATCCCCTCTGTGCTAAAGAGGAAGTTACTTATCAAGCATCTGGTCAAGCTAAGCTTCATGTTACTACCTCTTTAACCAACCCAATATCCTCTCTGTGTGTGTGTGTGTGTGTGTGTGTGTGTGTTTCATGTGTTTCTTGGAAGGAGGCGGACTACAGCTCCTTCATGTTTAGACTCAAACAGACACACACACACGCTCTGCCGTACGCACACACACCGGCACATATTCACACAACTGTGCACTCTCACACACACACAGACACACACACACCTACACACAGACACACACACTCCTAGCACAAACGCACATACACGCAGACTGCTGCTCTTTGAGGCCACAGAGCGAGAGCAGCAAATGATTGCTGTAAAGTTTGCTGTTGCTATCGACAAAGCAGCCTCTGTTCTTCATTTTGTGCCCCCCCCACCCACACACACACACACCACAGATGCCCCCCCAACCCTCCTCCTCCTCCTCCTACCCCTCTCTCTCTCTCCTTCCTGAAAACCACCCGCGATTGGTAGGCCTATTTACCGACAAAAACCAGCGGCCAAGATGGGTCACTCGCTGTGAGTGGAAGCGCCGGACCAGCGTTACGGGAGGAGGCGGCGGCGGCCTTGTGCAGGTCTATTCAGCCGGGAATGGTGTGAGCTGAGACGGCCAGGCAGTCTGGATCTGACCGGGGACCCGTCATTCCCCCGGAGCCTCCGCGGCTCCAAGCCGCGTCCTGAGCCCTCCAAGATGGGGAAGTGCGACGGAAGATGCACGCTGCTGGTGATATGTTCACTGCAGTTGGTGAGTGTGTATATCCTATATGTGTGTGTGTGTGTGTGTGTGTGTGTGTGTGTTTGTGTGGGCGTCCTAAGCTGCCTCTCTCACTCACCATAAAGATATAATTAGAGCAGCGTGCCACAGACACGCACATTGTAATCAGACATTTTTGTCCAGCCTCTCTGTACAGTCACTAAAAATGCTTTGAGCTGCAGCTGCTGGGGTGCATGCCACATTACAGGCGAGGGTGTGTGTCTTTTTGAAGAAGAGGAATAGGGCAGGGGGGCGCTTTGGTGTCGGGGTGGTCTGTATGTCTGTAGAGAGTGAGAGAGAGGGAGAGAGAGGGAGAGAGGGGTGATAGCCCCATTCTGGCAAAAACCATGTGAATATTAAGCACAAGGGGGACAAGGAGGCCCTGTTCACCATCTGGTCTCCATTCTGGAGTTAAAGTTAGCTGCTCCTTGTGCCTACAAATAGCTCCAGACTGTTCCTCTAAAATGTAATAAGTGTGTAATGTGAGCCACTATCAGCTACTCCTGTAGTGGAGCATGATGCGGGACATGCACAGCGGCAGTGTGAGGGCTTGTTGTCCCGGCTATTGTTTGCAGGGCTGATGAGTGTGGCAGGGGGATTCGGCCCATAGATTCTCATTAGTTTGGGGGAGCTTTTTTAGGGGGGTGCTCCTCTTTTACAGTCACCGGACTGGCTGGTGCTCCAGGCAGTTACCATGGAAACAACTGCGGCAAGACCTGTGTATGTGTGTCCCTGTCACAGTCTGTGCGTGTGTGTGAAGCCTTGATTACGTGTGTTGTGTTTCTACGTGTGTGTTGTATTTGCATATGTCCTCTGTTGTGTGTGTTTGTATGTGTGTGTCTTTTCCCTAATGTGTGTGTGTGTGTGTGTGTGTTTGACCCCCTCCCCCTGTCCCCTAGGTGGCAGCCCTGCAGAGACAGGTGTTTGATTTTCTGGGCTACCAGTGGGCTCCCATCCTGGCCAACTTCCTGCACATTATGGCCGTCATCCTGGGCATGTTCGGCACAGTGCAGTTTCGCTTTAGATACCTCATCTTTGTGAGTATATTACTCAACAGCTCCTGTTTACTTCAAATGGATAAAGTGTGTGTGTGTGTGTGTGTGTGTGTGTGTGTGTATAGTTACTGTCTCAGAAACTGATCTCTTTGTGTGTTTGGCAGTATGCAGTATGGCTGGTCCTTTGGGTGGGTTGGAACTCATTCATTATCTGCTTCTACCTGGAGGTTGGAAACCTGTCTCAGGTAAGTTAAAGATAACAACTTGGATGTTTGCTCTAATTATAATCACTCTCTTCTTCTGTCTTTAGTTAGATTAATGGATCTGCTGCTTGATATTTAATCAATTGTTAACTCACCGGTTCCCAAACTACTGTCTTTCTTGCTAATTCTCATTATAGTCTGAGATATAATGATTGTTTCTTCTCCAAATGTTTTTACTGAATCTTTTTTAGAGGCCTTAAGATGTTTCATAAGGAAAAAAACAAAGATTTTAAAGAATGAGGTCTGATTTTGTGTGTTTCTTTTATGCTTTCTTATCCTTTTAACCATCTTCTATTGCGACCCTTGAGATTTACCCAGTGACCCCTTAGTGAGGGTCCGACCCCAGGTTGAGGCCCTCTGGTTTAAATCATGTATTATGCAAAAATGTCAAGTCTCTGGTTTCTTCCTCTCAAATCTGAGGATATGCTGTTTTTTCTGCTTTATCTAAATGTTTATCTGCTTTATATCATTATTAATTGATGTCACCTTGAAATTGTGACCTTTTTTCTGATGTTTTGTCGACTATTCAGTTAATAAAAAACATAATAAGCTGAGGAATCAGCAGTGAGAATAATCATTAGTTCTGACCCTACTTTTATGTGTGTGTGTGTTCAGGACAGGGACATTCTCATGACGTTCAACACATCCCTTCATCGTTCGTGGTGGATGGAGCATGGTCCTGGTTGCCTGGTAACGCCAGTGCTAGACTCACGCATCGCCCCTGATGACCACCATGTCATCACTGTGTCCGGGTGTCTCCTTGACTACCAGTACATAGAGGTGTTGAGTTCAGCCATTCAGATCCTATTGGCTGTACGTATTTAACACACACACACACACACAATCATACACTGTTTTCTTTTACATTCATCTGGCTTTATGAACTTTTATGAACTCAACCTTCTTCTAAAACATTTTCTATGAAACACAGTATGAGTATGAGTCAAAAGTGAATCAGCGTGTACAACAACAGTCACCTAATATCTGACCATCTCTTCACCGACAGCTCTTTGGCTTCGTATACGCCTGCTACGTGAGCAAAGTCTTCCAGGATGACGAGGACAGCTGTGAGTGCCTTTGTCTTCTCCTAAAAGCTTGTTGATCCTCCTCTAGCGCCTTGTTCAGCCGATTAGATTTACTTGTGTCATACTGTCAAGAGGGCTTTTGTGTTAGCAATCCGTGGCTTTGGATGTGAGCGCTCATTGTTTTCTCCTGCCTGAGTCATGCTGAGCAGCATCACCGCAGAGGGTTCCCTCTGGGTGATGTGAGCGCTCCATCTGTGGGGAGCGTTAAAAGATGTCTGCTGGAATATTCCCACCGCCAGTGTGTCCGTCTGTCTGCTGGCTAGTGCTTGTCTGTTCGCTTGGGTGTGCCATCTGTGTGTGTCTGAATGGTTCTTCTCTTAGCGTGCCGCTCGTGAGTGTTTTTCGCTCTCGCTCAGATGAGAAAATTAAGTCCCGCACTTATATGTGACGTCATAAGCTTGAGTTCCTGTAAAAGGAAGTGTCATGTTTCGTTTGTGATGTTTAACATGTTTTGTTATAATCATATGCATGTCATAACATAGTGGGGTTGACGAAAGAACAATGACATGCAATATACATTTATTTTTAATTTTTTATGCATTAATAATATACTTTTGAGGCCAATATTGATTTATATATAACTTAAGTATATCTGCTCTCTACCTTTCTATGTATTGGCCAATATATTCATCAGATACCAATATACCAATTTTTATTAAATTGTTGGCTCTTGCCTCAGGAGAAAACAGATCCCTAAGTTGTGGTCTACATCTCCACTGATGTAGACAATCTTGGACTGTTTTCTCTCTCAGCTGGCACCAAATAAGTTTGTTCCTCTGAATCGATTGAGAAAGATTAGAACAATGTATCAGTGACATAGAAGCAGTGAGAAAGATGATGTATCGGTGCAGATTCTGATGTCACAGCGGGTGTTATAAAGGTATACTGAAAGCACTATGATACCATCTGATGCCTTAATAGATTTTCATGTCAGAATAGAATCTGATCTTGAAATACAACACTTGTTAAAAAAAAAAAAAAAGATTTTAAGGGAAAGTGCAATGATGTCATCCTTTCTCTCTCTCTCTCTCCCGAAGTTGATTTCATTGGTGGCTTTGACTCGTATGGCTACCAGCCTCCTCAGAAGTCCTCTCATCTGCAACTGCAGCCTCTTTACACGTGAGTTACAAATATATTTTTTTAAATCATGTTGTTTAACGTTTGTCTTTAAAGGGGTCCTCCAGAAATAGTGTTGCACTTCTAAAAGGTTTAGGGCCTCACAGAATAAATGCAGCAGAGATATTTTGACTCTTTTAGTCCCTAGTGTGGGTTCCCCTCCAGACATGAATTAAACATATACAAATAGTCTACCTGGGACAATAATGTGTGTCTGATTAATACATAAAATATATAATTTCCATATTTAAATCTGTAAAAAGTCCTTTTACCTGATTAAAAATTCAAGAGAGAGAGAATTTGTAAATTTTGATTTCTAAAGTTTCCCTGCTGGACCCAAGAGATCTCCTGCTTCACTGTAAAGCCCATTCTCAGTGTATGTACTGGAGGCTTTAATGTACTGGACCAGTATTGACTTCCACACTATTTGTGATGTCCCAAATCATTGTAGGCCCCGCCCCTTATAATCCAATATTCAAAAGAAACTTTCCACTTTCCATCACTCTGCACAGTGAAGCTCAAACATCCAACTGTGGGAATAAGAAGAACTATTGGTTTCTAAGTCTCAAGCCCAGAATAACAATGATGATGTCATAAGGGATATCTCAGTCCAAGTGACATCATCATTTCGTCAAGTTTAAAAAAAAAAAAACTTCCTCCAGAGCCACATAACACATTATACTATTGTAATAAACTGTTTTCTCAGGTCCTCATGATAAGTAAACCAAACTACATGTGTAAAATCAGCGGAGGGCCATTTTTAGTGCAAATACATCAAAGTGCATTGTGCTGTGTAACATTGATGAACTGAACTTGATTGAACTCCTGATCTTATCCCCCTCTCCATCACAGGGCTGGTTAACTGTTGGTAGCGCCCCCTTCAGGCCAAACCCTGACGGTGTCACTGTGGATGGAAAGCGGCGGTTGCCTTGATTACACTCACTCTGTGTGTCACAGTTTACCAGAGGAAGGGACTTACCCCACCCAGAGGGAGAAACGTCTGTGCGTGTGTGCATGTGTGCTTGTGTCTGAGAAAGAAAGAAAGAAATACAGCCCTGAATAGAATGTACAGAGCTCAGGGAAGAACCAGCATGCCAGGTGGTGTGATAAGATGAAGGAAGGAGGAGGAGGAGGAGGAGGAGGAGGAGGAGAACGATACAGAGAACAAGAGCTGGGGACACCCTCTGTCAAATCAGCAGACACACCTTCCACCTTAACTGCCAGCTCACGCACAAGTGTGTATGTGTATGTATGTGTGTGACTTGTGGGTAACTCCACCAGGACTGAGCATGGTGCCTTTGTGGTTGCACCTGGACTCTTACCACTTTTTTTTTTTTTGGGTGCTTGCTCGTGTGTGTGGTGTGTGGTTGGGGGTGGGTCCACATAACACAGAGCACGGCTCGTACCTGTTGTCATTTTAGCAATGTGGGTGGTGTCCAAAACTAGAGGCAGTCTTACCGATTCCCAAAAGCCATCTTTCCTTCCTCCCCATGGCCGTTAAAACCACTGGTGACCAATGAAAGCTTTTTGCATTACAGCCCTGCCTGCTGAGGTACGTAACAACAGAGCTGGTGGAGCAGAAGGTATGAACTGCTTCTAAAAGGATCAGGGCTGCCGATATTCTGTATATTTATTACTTAGACCCAACAACCATCGGGTCGCATCCCATCTCCTCTTCATAAGCTTTTTGTTCCCAGCAGTAAGGCTTTCAGAGCGCATAGTGAGTATTTCAGCGGCAGGGTGGTTATGTTGGGATCATCTCAAAATAACTCTACAGTGCACAATTTACCGTACGAAGGAACATGTCAGCCCAGTGGGCACAGTGTGTCCTTTAAACAGACCTGACAGTGGGAATAACGCTATATCAGGCTTGTCAGTAGAATAATTATTGTTGGTTTTTGGCCTTTTCATGCAATTTGTTGACAATAAGAAAAATACAGACATCACCCAGATCATCCTCTAAAAGTTGCTGAAGTTAGCTGCAAGTCATGTCGCATTTGCCAGCGAGATATTTTGTTTTCCAGGAAAAATAAGTTACTGTACATGTAATGGCTGTTCAAACTGACTGCAGATGCTTTGGGATCAGGCATTAGTGTGTCTATGGGGGGTGGGTGGGTGTGGGGGGGAGCCAGTGGGATACTGTGCATGTAAATAACGGCAGCCAATTGATTAGTTTTGTTGGTTCCATTTAGAAAAAGGGGGGGGTTGCATTGAGGCGTGGGTAGGGCTGGGGGAACAGGGGTAGGCACAAATCAAAGTTTTTTCTTCCATACCTTGTTTTCTTGCTCTCTCCCCTTTTCTGGACCCATCCTGACATACGCCTGCCCGCTCTTCAAACCACCCTGGCCAAGCTAGTTGTCGCCTCCTCTCATTAGACTATCAATTCACCCTCTGCGGGCTCAGTCCGGCCTGATACTCCCACCAGAGCAAAGCGATAAAGGAGGCCTAAGAGGAAAAATAGGACAGTGGCACAGTGCAGCATGGCTTGAGTAGTTTTCTTGTAATCTGGAGACAGAAAGAGGGAGGAGGAGAAACCCATTATGAGGTGGAACGACCATATTCTGGGTGTAGGTGGCAGTTTGAAATATAAAAATCACACCTTTCCCGTACATTAAAATCATGACTTCTGTTGTCACCTGTAAAGACACATTTGTATCAGCCTGAGAGCGACTAAAGTTTAGATAAAATAAGTGTTTTCCTTCTAGCTTTAATCACATTATATTCACAATCTGGATTATGGGCACAGGAATTACATTTTTGCCCAAATTAGTGTTCACGACAGATGCATACAATAATGCATGCTGGGAGCTGGTATCTGTCAGAATGAGGATTTGATTTGGCCAAATAATGTGACTGCATTTTAAACAAAAAGACAGCCCGAGCATTAAAAAACAGCAACTTAACAAGTCATAAAGGGAGCCTAGTTTTTCATGCCTGCAGGGCGCTGAAGAGCGTCAAGCTCACTATACCGTTAATTTTAATGGTATTCAAGTTCATAAATTTTAAATCTGAACCGATTTTGATTGTCATAATCAAGGACCCCATCCACAAAAATATACGCGTGGTCATCCCATGGTCAACATGTTGCTTTTCTTCATTTATCCAATTATTAGATAGTTTATCCTACCGTCATCCGCTACACCATCGTACAAACTGTTAGTGTACTACTATTTACAAAAGAGTTTGACAAGTCAATTGAAGTTTTAATTAGCTATAATTTAAGTTTTTTTAGCCAATGATTCTGGCAAGCGAACAGAAAAATAGAACCACCAAATTAAAAACAGATTACAAACAAATAAAATTCAAAACTATCAACCATATTTGAGTAAAATGGTGTTTGAGGTGCAGAAATTTGTATGCGCAAGCCATACATGGTTTAATACTGCAAGGCATACAATTAATATATGACTTTATACCGGCATGCTTTAATAGGTAGATAGCGTACACTCAGGCTACGTTTAATCCAGTCTGCCTGGGCCGCAGGCAGCATGTTAAACAACTACCATCCACCAAAACAGTGTCCCATATGATTACCAGAGTCTTTCTTCCAGGGCTGCTACGATCTGGGTGCATTACGCTCATTGACACACCCGGTCTCGGGACAGTCCCGGTCAATGACCAGCCCCGAGAGAGGTTCAGCCACTGCCCATTACACCAAAAGCAACAAAGGGTAAATTTTTGGTATAATCGGGCCCACGCTACTACCCCTCTTATTGCACACCGTCCCCACCGCTCAACCGTTATACCGCCGACCACAACAACAGAAAAGAAGATAGTAACGAGCGCAGAGTAGCGCAAACAAAACTAGACGTGTGGCCCGCAGCACGATTGAACATCGGCGAAGCACAGCACCCCATTACACAAGCGTAGGACACCCACCGCGCAACACTTCGGATAGGCTCACACACCAGCACCCATCCCCCAGCACATACACCACACCCACAACACACACATATCCATCTTTATCTACGCGGCCCACTCACCCTTAACATTGTACACCCATCCATCACACCCAGCACCCAGCACACAACAACCCCACCCAGCAACCACACACACGCGGCTACCGCGCCGCTGCGTTCTTCTCTCCCACACTAATCGTTATTACTCTCACAAGATATACACATTAATACATACCTTTGATTCTTGAAATGCAGACTATATACTACATCACTATTTTTGGATAGTATTACCTATCAGTCACCAGAGACATCATCCGTTCCAAGCTTACACAGTAAAACAAGCGTCGGATGAACTCACATATATAATTTATACTAAGTTATTCAATAACCATTTTTATTTTATATATTCTTTTTTACCCACCATGTAACACAATCATATATGACATTAAAAAAATATCCAATATAAATACACCCCACATAAAAAAAATTAATAAATAAAAAAGAGAGTCCACACATAACAAAGGGACCGGTCCGGTACGGCCCTCCCTCCCCTCCCGGTTGGCGCAATGAACCGCACGCTCTCTCTCATCCTTTCCCGTCATGCAGCGCTCTTGCCTGCTCCTCCGTCGAGCCGCCATGTTGTCGGAGTGAAAGCCCGGGGTGTTAGAGAGAAACTGGGGCCGAAATCCGCGACCATCCACCCTCTCCGCCGGTGAGTATCGCCTCCTTCTCGGTCGCGGTAGCACGGGGCGTTGTTTATTCACGCGTCGTTGCGGGTATTGTTGCCATGGCGGCTCCGAGAGGGGCTAAAGAGGAGTATTTGGTGAGGCTGAAGCGGCTGCCTCCCTTTCTGCTGCTTGCCTCCTTCCTCCCGTTGTGTCGGTCTTCCGCTCCAGACAGCTCTCGGGCCTTTGTTAGCATCCGCGTCACGGGGACCTGTGGGGGCTGCAAGGTCGGCAGACAGGTAGAGCCCCCCAGGTGTGGACAGATAACACAGTGATGCCGTTAGGGGACCACTGCCGCTGTTAAAAACATTGTACGGGAAGCCCGTGTTTGGCCACCGGTTCGCCCGGGCTGAGCTTGTGTCGGGAGGCCGTGTTATTGTTGGTAGACACGGGCAGCGAGCCCCCCGTCACAGGTCCGAGTGGACGCGGATGCACGGGGTGACGAGCCACCGCGGTAACCGTGGTGACTCCTTTTCACGAAGCTCCTGCATGTTTCCTTTCGTTTTGATGTGTCATGTCTGTGAGGGGAGAAGTGTTTGGTCTGTGTTGAGGCACCCTGACGTTATCTCATGCTAGCTGCAGGTTGCCTGCTCGTGCTGTCACACCCCTGTCTGTGCCCGGTATGCGGTGGATTGATCCCCGGTATTGAATAATGATTAACCCAGTTAGATTGTGGGACACGGTTCCTGTTTCCGTGTGTTACATGTTAAACTTGTGGCTTCACAAGCCGTGTGCGCCTCGCTTTGGGGGTTGGACAGTGTTGTGGATTTCCGGGTGTTTCTCTACCTGGTGTTCGAGCGGCAGAAGGAATAAAGAGCTAACGATCTCCTGTGGTTGAATGGAGAGTGCAGCAGGGACACAAACACACGAGTACATATGTGAATGGTCACTTGGCAGGCTGTTTTTATTTTAAATTATTTTCTTTTTTTTGGGGCTGTTCGGCAGGTCAACTCGTGGTTTTTTGTCTGTGTGGAGGTGGTGTGTTGCCCGGTGGTGTCAGCAGACTTTGAGAGGAGGCTGCATGCATTTGTTGATTCATAGTGGCAGAAAACACTCTGGCAAAGTTAATTACTGTATATGGCTCAGTGGTAAAAAGAACTGCTTGTGATGTCTTCATGCCCTGTAGGGACACTAATGTGAAACTGGTAATTTTAACAGAGATTAGAGCTTGTTGGATAAGAAGAGGTTGTAAAATACAAATTACACCCCTCTGGCTGAGGTTGTTGTGCCTAATATTGACCACCAAACACATTGGTACATGCACATTTCTCATTGCTTACTATAATGAGTAACTACCCAGCAGCCTTAAACCTGGGTCAAAAGACAGGGACCCCTCTGACCATTTCAAAATAAGGAACACCAAGCGGTCTCAAGTTTTTGGCAAAAAGTCATGTGCAAACTTATTAAAATCACTTACAATCTTCCCACTGACACAATAAACTTAAAGTAATGAAGTCTATCACAGTTACCATTGTTTTAGTTGGTTATTCAACTTTATCATATTGGCATTTTGGAGGCTGTAGTTTGTAGTGCTGTTGAACTGTATTCTACACTCAGAGATGTTTCTAATATTTAGTCCACCCTCACTGATACAAATGGATTTGGGACAAAATATGAGACACCAAAATGACCACAACCTCCAGTCTGCCGTCTCAACAACAAACAAAAAAAAACAAACAGTTTCAACAAAGCAGGACTTTATAATCTCCATGGAAGTAGGATTAATTGCAGCAACCGTTGTATTGCACTGCATTTTGATTTAGCTGGGTGTACCTAATAAAGTGGCAGCTAACTACCAGCTGTAACAGTGTGACCTACTATAAGCAGTGGCAGTGATCTGCAACCCACCTGAGGCAATGATTGGACAGGTTTTCATAACAACCTGATTTCTGTGGCTGGAACACCTTGAACCAGAGAAATAATAGGCACCGATATGAAGGTCACCGTGTCCAAGTGTCTGAACGGCGTTTGTGGGTGATTAACATAGAAACTATATTAATTGTATGGTTGGTTTCACTGGAGTTAGACCTGTTATGTGTGGTTCATAGAGCAGCACTGTACATTAAAGTGTACACTGTATCCTGCTGAGTGTTAATAGTTAGATCACCTGCCTCCTGGGCTGTCTGGTAAAGTGATTCTCTGGTTTATATCTGTAGCTGTTGATCCCGGCTCTCTAGTTCTGATTATCAGCAATTAAGTAGCTTTAATGGCAGGTTGCCACTTTGCTCCAAGAATGTTAGACTTACTGTGAGATTAATATTGGCGCTGTCCCTTACGTGGCTGCAGCCTACAGACATTATGTACTTTTGGGTTTTCTGGAAGAATTATACTAACTAGGTTTCAAAGAGGGACTGTTGGTGCAGTGAGCTGCTGGAGTGTTTGTCTAGGAACAATATTATCACAATATTATCACAATATTTGTTCATTTTCTGGATCTCTGGTGTGGCCAGATGTTGTCAAATGTGGGTGGCCCATTTCTATTCTAAAATGAGTTATTGGCTCCATTTACGTGAGATTACACAGTGCTTACTTTTTTCATTCATGTGGGAAGGTGTATCGAGGGATTTATGGAGCACCAACGCAGACTTTGAACTTTGATCATAATCCATTTGGAATAGGAAAATGATTGGATGACCCATTTGTTTTATGCCATATTTTTTTCCTGCTGTCGCCACTTTTTGATGTAGTAGGTAGAACATAGATCATAGTATGTCTTTGTTGTAATTTTAATTTCTGTTAACATTAGCTGATACACACTGAGACCGCACGCTGACATGAAGACTTTAAAAAAACAAAAAAAACAAGTGGTCAGATCATGTGCTATTGCTGAATATAGCTATAAAGCCTTTGCATGTTTGCATTCATTCACCAGTTTATTAGGTACACCTAAACCTATGCAAAACCTCATGTAGTCAATGTAACAGCCCTGCAATAAACCCTACAAAGGTTATAATGTTCATTTACAGGTACATTTATTTTAGAGAGATGTTGATACAACTTTATGGTTATTTTGTAGGTTGTAATAAAGTTTGATGTGCTGCGTTATGCTGAAAGGTTTTTACTTGAAGCAGACAAGCTTAAACTACAGTCTTCAAGCTATTAGTGCTTATTGAAACTACCAGTTTGAGTAAAATATTATCACTGGAATCTTTATGATGGATTTATTGCAGAGGAGTTGTTAGACCGCTTTAGTTTTAGGAAGGCACTTCTAATAAACTGGCAACTGAGCGCAGGATCTCCATCCTGAGTGAGTACATTGTGTAAAACTGGTCAGAGCTTATCAAACACTTTGTTTGTTTAAACTTTAAAGGGAAATTTCAGCACATTTTATTTGGATGTCTAATCAGAGTTCATGGTAAATGTAGTCAACTGAAGCAATAAATTCCTCAGTGCTATATTTGACCAAGAAAGTGGATTTCTGCTCACAGCAACAATGCCTACATGTACCAGGATAAATGATCGGCTCATAATGGGGGAATTTATTTTATTATAAATGATTGGGATAATTAAATTACAGCCAATAACTTAACAACTCATATTAATAATAATTAATTTTTAATTCTCTTTAAAACGATTGATTGCCTTTATGTTCCATTAGCTTTTTTTTTTTTTTTTAATGAACTTTACTAGAAAAATGAACTTTTATTTGTTGTTGTAAACAACGATGTCAGGTAGATTTAGTTTAACAGAGCTATGGATTATTAAATCTTTGCTCACTACATCTCAGCCTTTCTTACCTTCAGGTGT